GAAGTGTCTGTTCATATCTTTGCCCATTTTATAATGGGGTTGTTTGTTTTTTCTTTTCAGCACGTTTGAGTTCCTTGTAGATCCAGGATGTTAAGCCTTTGTCGGACCTGGAGTTGGCAAAAATTTTTCCCAGTCTGTAGGCTGTCTTCCTGCTCTCTTGATGGTTTCTTTGGCTTTGCAGAAGCTTGTCAGTTTAATAAGGTCCCACTTGTCTATTTTCTCTCTTATGAGCTGTGGGTCTTGGGTTTTGTTCAGGAATTGGATGCCAGTTCCGATTTCCATGTGGGTATTTCCTTCATTTTCTAAGGTTCTTATGGTTTAAGGTTTTACATTTAGGTCTCTGATCCATTTGGAGTGAACCTTTGTGCATGGGGATAGATAGGGGTCCTGTTTCAATCTTCTGCATGTGGTCAGCCAGTTTTTCCAGCACCATTTACTAAATAGGTTCTCCTCTCCCCAATGGTAGGTGGTGGAGGCTTTGTCAAAGATGAGTTCGTTGAGAAATTGAGGTTTTGCTTCTGGAATCTCAATTCTATTCCATTGATCTATATGCCTGTTCCTATACCAATACCAAGCTATTTTGATGATTATAGCTTTATAGTAAACTTTGAAGTCTAGTAATGTGATACCACCTGCTTTGGTTTTTTTTGCTGAGAATTGTTCTGGCTATTCTTGGACATTTGTGTTTCCATATGAATTCCTGCACTGTTTTTTCTAGGTCTGAGAAGAATGTTGCTGGTAATTTGATGGGTATTGCATTGAATTTGTAGATTGCCTTAGGTAAGATGGACATCTTCACAATGTTGATTCTTCCGATCCATGAGCATGGGATATTTTTCCACTTGTTCATGTCGGCTTTGATTTCTTTGAGCAGTGTTTTGTAATTTTCATTGTAAAGGTCTTTCACGTCTCTAGTTAGGAAGATGTCAAGGTATTTCATTTTTTTGTGGCTATTGAGAATGGAGTTATGTTGTTTATTTGGGTTTCTGTTTGTTTATTATTGGTGTAGAGAAATGTGATTGTCTTTTGTACATTTATTTTGCATCCTGAGACTTTGCCAAAGGCCTTTATCAGTATAAGGAGATTTTTGACAGATTCTCTTGGGTTTTCAAGGTATACAGTCATGTCATCTGCAAAGAGAGATAACTTGACTTCCTCTTTTCCTATTTGGATACCCCTGATTGCCTTCTCTTCTCTAATTGCT